AATCAAAACGTAAAAGGAAGTGGAAGGAAACGAAGTGAATGAGTCAAGAACTATAGTGTAACTATACGATTTACTTCACGCGACTCAACATTTTTATCCAAACAAGCGATCCCAGCGGTCGGCTTTCCGGGACGCTGATTGGCTTTACTGTCCAAATATTGGGGAAGCTACAAAACGTCGACTATTTTGGCAAAAATATTCGCTTACCAGCTTTGACTCGCTTATAAATTGAAGGGACATGCCCTTCTTAATCTGTAGCTCCCCAACCCGCCCTTGTTGGTCCAAAATCTCAATTAAAAATGGAACGATGCAAACATACAAGGACCTGGTGCACCCATTTGCATCTCCGCTAATCTTAATCAGGAAAATGAGGAGAGAAGACACTTCTGAAGTCAAAACTCAAGGGCCGAAACATCATTTCTTTCATGTCTCAATATGAAAGGATCATTAAGATGCTCGGCGTGAACGCCAGGGTGGAGCAATTCAGCTTTGCGCCACGCCCGACCGACACTGCAACGAGGCACATCGTTGTGCAAAAGCATCATTTCTTTCATGTCTCAATATGAAAGGATCACTAAGATGCTCGGCGTGAACGCCAGGGTGGAGAAATTCAGCTTTGCGCCATGCTCCCGACCGACACTGCAACGAGGCACATCGTTGTGCACAATATGCATTTTCATGACCACGCAGCCAGGCCTCATGTGGACCAAACGCGGCATCGCTGCGAGTAACTGGCAGAAAGCAAAAGCTTGACAGCTGGTCGGGATGTCCTTAACACACACACACACACACACACACACACACACACGTCCTGATATAATTAGCAGTGAATAGTTGTGGTGCGGCGCTACACAGGACGGCGGCTGAAGCCATCTGCTCTAATGATCAACTTTTTCTGAAGGCGCTTGCGCATGTAAATCAAGTCCGGCGCGGGTGGATGCGGACCAGGGCGCGGTGCCGCTTCAACTTTGAAGACGGGCAATCGAATAGATTCTCTTGGGGTCGTTGACTTGTTATTTCCCGCCGCCACTGGCCGTGAATGGCGGCGGTTTACCGTGGAGCGCATCAAGCGTTGGCCGGTGCTGGCCATGCGACAGACAAGCCTTTGCTCGGGTTTACCTGCAGCTCGCACCAGGCCACCTCCACCCAGGTTTCGGTGTCCAGACCCTTGTAGACGGTCTTGAAGGAGCCCCTGCCGAGCTCAATGTCGAATTTCAGGAAGCGTCCTCCCGGGGAGGTGGAGACGGCCTTCATCTCCGCCTCTTCCTCCGTCTCCTCGCTGGCCGCCTTGACGGGGATTTTCGCGCCATCGCCGCACGTCGCGTCGAGTGCATCCCCTCCGCTTTCGCCCTTTGACTCCTCCGTTCTGCCACTTTCGCCGGCATCGTCTTTTTGCCCGGCTGGACTCTCGGCGCCGGAGTCCTCCCGGACGCCGCCGCTGGCGCCCGGCGTCCCGCCCGCGGCCGTTGGCGGCTTTCCGTTCAGGAGCCGGCCGTCACGTTGGGGCGACTCCGAGGCCCGCTCGTCCGCGTCCGAGAACCACAGGCTTCTCCTGATGAATCTCTGACGGACGATCTTCCGAGAAGCCAAAGACGGGTCGCTGCCGCCTCTCGGCGCCGGGCTCGTGTCGGCCGTGGCGTCACGCGCGCTTTTTCCCGGTTCCTCGACATCGGTTGACGCTTCTGACAACACCGACAAGGGTGGCGCACGCCGGCTTGAATCCGATATCGAGATTGGGAAGGCTGCAGTCAGACCATCGGACGCTGAAAAACAAAATCAAGAAAAAAAATCCATTGAATGCATTTCATTTGATCATGTCCGTTGTACGGAAGCATCGGGACCTTTACGGGAGTTTTGAATAACACGGTGACTGTCAAGCAGGTCATTGACTTCAAAGCACCTTTTTCCCGTCACGAACGTTCGTTCCGGAAGCGTTACAATTCCACACGTTCCCACCCAGTGTGTCAATGGGACATTGTCCGCTGTGACGTGGGAAATGATCTCATTTCACTGAATCGATCCCAAAGTATTCCATTTATGCCGAATAATGTTTGCTTCATCTTTCCGTGGCAGCGAGGTCAAGCGACCCAACTTCTGACACTTGCCTCAAGAGAGATTTGTGAAACCTTTTTGGCGAGCGTAACGTATAAATGGTCCACTTCTTCACTCCAAACGCAGCTCCTTTATCACCACGCGGCGCTAATGGTGCATCGTGGCAGGCACGACGCGGGAAAGCTCTTCCGTTGGATGGCACAAGGTCCACAACGGACATGGTCTTGTTGGTTTTCTGCATGTATTTAGTTGGTTTATTATGTGGGCACGATTGACAACTGTGCCCACTTTTGCTACATTTTGGTTTGGTGTTGTGCCATGACATTATTTTTTTATATATATCCAGACAGAGAGAGAGAGCAAATGTGGCTTGGCTCACTGCAGGTTGCCATTAAAAGAGCCTTGCAGCAGGACGTCGCTCCTGTGCTAGCTCAAGCACAAGATTGCATCGCTGCCTTCTTGGCAGGGCGGAGGCAGAATGAGCAAATCTTAGGCACCTGGTTTGAGTCCAAGCAACACATTTGGAACAGATGTCAGACAAATGTGAGCATCCAGCAATTTCACTTACCTTGGCCCCAAAAGGCGCGCAAAGAGCACCCGTGACGACCTGATTTGAGCTGCTGACGCTAACGGCGGGCGGCATCGTCCTCATCCTCATCCTCATCACTGAAGCTCGCTCAAGGTAAGCGAGCAGTTTCCCGGGGTGGGGGGCAGAACGCGCACTTTGGAAGACTGGGCGTTCTCAGGCCGGACGGAAGGAAGACGACCTGAAAATGCTCTTCTCGCTTAGACGCCGTCGTCGCCCCTCGACGCAATTGGCCGAATCGCTCTTTCCTTCCGGCTCCGCGGCTGTTTTTCCTCAACGTGGGCGTCCAGCTCCCGTCGGTCGACCCGCGGAGCGGACGAGCGCTCCCGTCTCCCTCTCTCCGGGTCCGCGGAGCTTCGACGCCGGCCAGGCAGCCATCGAGTGCCCGCGCGCGTTCCCGAGGCTCGCCGGGCTCCGCGGCCGCGCCCCTCGTGACGAGATGGCGGCCCGACCAATCAGGCGGCAAGAGCGCGAGGCCGCGCAACAAAAGTGAACGGAGCCGACGATGAAACGACGCTCACGTCTTTGTTGCCCTTTTCTCAGCCAAGCCGCGCCAGTGGCGGACGCTGCTCGATCAAATGTGTCCGTTTATTTAGACGTCAATTCTAATCTCTGTTCCTTTTCAAGAAAATGATGTGTGACTCTGTCATATACCAACGAGGCGTCTTTTCCAGGGTCTTAACTGTGGTGATGTAAGTCAGTCTGCAAACACAAGCACCTACAGTAAAACACACCAGAAATCAAATATTAATCTGTCGCTAGTCGTTTTCAACAAAGAGAGTGTCGCTAAGATGATTCGTTGAAGTCTCCAGTTCAACTCAGAACAGAATGAGAATTGAAAAATGCTCCCAAGGACGCCGTCACCAAAAGATCGGCGATTGGCTCATTTCGCTATCAATCAAAAAGAGATTCAGCCTCAGACAAATCATCCAATCATCATGCAGAAAAGCTGAGCGTCCGGGCAGGCAGATACACGCCCACTGTCCATCGACTCCCAGAGACGCTGAGCGTCAAAAACAGCATTTATCCAATGACTCATTTATCCATGCCGACAACTGGCTGTCGGAATATTCTGCCTTGCTCGCAACCGTTTTCTCCAAATGCCTGATTATTCTTGGCTTTCGAGACTTTTTTGGGCCTCATAGCTTCTCGCCACGTTTTTGTATTCATGTTTTTTTTTTCACGTTTGTCGTTCTTGTTGTCATTTCTCAGTCTGTATTCTCGTGCATTGGATTTGCTTGTCTTTTTCGCGACAAGCAATTGAGGCTTATCTTGTTCCTTGCCTTTTGCAAGCGTTTTTGCTCCGTTTTTCCTCTTCCGGGTTCTTGGTTATCAACGTCTTTTGTACGACTTTGTCGGTCCTGCGTTTTGGATGGAACCAGGTGAACCATACTTTGATATTGTAGCGAGGGCTGCCTTGCTAGCACTCTCTCTTTAAAAGTACCGGTAATGCTAGCATTGAAAAACAAAACGATGCCACATAAATCATCCGGAGAATTTCACAAGAATTAACGTGACCGAAAAGAATTAGCCGATAATTATCAAAGATATATTCACGCGTGAAGATCGCACTCATTAATTGATCTTGAAGAAATTTGCTAGCGAGCCCCCAAAAGTGCAATCTGAGTTTTGAAGAACTGCTGGAGGCATCCACGACAATTTTTGGGCCATGACGGGAAACTTTCACATCCATGTTGAAAACACCAAAGACTCTCCGTCACCTTTGGTCCGTCACGCAACACGGAAAAGGCAGAGCCCAAACATCGAGTGGGTTCCGTCTCGATATTCACGCAGCGGTTGCTCACGCCGAGGGTGCTTTTGTACGGGGGACAGCGACCTCTGTCGGCTGCGTTGGAAACTTCCACGAGGGTGCCCTGTCCTGAGAAACGGCGTGCGGGCGGGACCCCCGGCGGGACCCCTTGAAGAACCTCCGAATGAACAATCAGTGCCGGCTACCATTGTCATCGCGGGATGAGGGCCTGACTGAACACGTTGATGATTTGGGGAGTCATCTGTCAGCTCGAACAACAAAATTAACCATCCAAACAAGGACGACCAGGAGACTCAAGTTTTGATCGGGTCTGATAAATACAGGGCAGCATCATTGAGCAACGTGACAATTTTCCCCGCCATCTTTCTTCATTTTGTGTGTGTGTGTGTGTGTGTGTGTGTGTGTGTGTGTGTGTGTGCCAGTTGAGTGATACTGGGCCTTATCAGCCTGTGGTGGAGTTTCCTATTGGACAGGAAGTGGCCTTCCTTCGCTTCCTGCCGTCCCCGTCTGTGTGTGTGTGTGTGTGTGTGTGTGTGTGTGTGTGTCCATATCCCAACAATATGGTGACAAAACACTCAGTGCAGAGAGGCGAAGAACAAGGATTTGGAGACGTCGGAGTGACGACGGAAAAAAAAACCCCACAGCAAGTTGAAGCAATTGCAAAATTGTCAGAGTGGATTAGGAAAGTGTGAAGGGAGGTGGCTAAACTGCTGTGATGGATTATGAACCCAAGAAATCCAAAAAGGTAAATTCCTATTTTATTGATTGATTTCTTTCTTTTTGTCAGCCCTTACATTTGCTTCCGGAGGATTTTTGTCACGGATTTGTAACATTTCATTCGACATGAAACGCATGTCGGTGGACTCGCAGATATTTTGATGATATCAACTCAATAGGAAAAAAAAACTGATAAGTAGACTAGGAATGGTCTGTGACGATTTCAAATGTCGCTAGGTTGCGGCAGATATCTTTGGCCTCCTGTCTTTCTACCGCACCCTCTAGAAGGGATCTCGTGAAAGGTCTCGATTCCATTCCGTGTCGTCCAGTAAAGTTTTTTGGGGGGGGAAAAAAAAAAAGAGAAGGGATCTTGTGAAAGGTCTCGATTCCATTCTGTCGTCTGTCATCCAGTAAAGTTCTTTTGGGGGGGGTGAAAAAAAAACGATGCTGTAAGTTGTCCGTCTTGCTCTCCGCTCAAAGATACAGCGGCAGCCCCAACTCCCGTTTGCGTGTGAATTTGCCAGCGTATTTGTGAGCTGTGTGTCACACAAATTTTAAACATCTGCCGCTTTGCTACTTGGAAAACGAATCTTTCAACTCAAATAAATGAGGGCCTTTGGAAAAAAAGGATGCGTTTTGAATTCCCGAACTCTCCCAGTCACGGCAAGGCTTCTTGCCACCTCCAATCTTTTTTTTCCTCTGCGTGTGGTGCGCTCGCCCAGGGTTTGGTGTCTCCCATTAAGCGTCTGGTGTGGTCCAAAGCCAGTCGCAGGCCGGCGGAGCGAGGCAGCGTTTACCGGCGTCCCCTGCACACCGTCCCGCTCTACCCTCCCGACTTCCTCATCCACCCCGAAAGACTCATCTTCGACTACGTGGAGAAGGAGGTCAAGGTACGAGTGCGCGCACAGTCCAAAACCGCGCGCGCAGCGGTTTTGACCGACCTGCAAGTCCTGAGGGGAAAGATCGCCCAATGGCAGTGGGCAGAAGAATTGCCATCTGCGATGGCTCTTCCCGTCACTTGCGTACATTCTTTGAAGCAAATCGTTGGTGGACCACCGCGGTGACGCGGGACTCACTCTTATCGTTTGGGCTTCTCTGAATGTTGTTGGCTTGGTTGAAGCCGATCTGTTCATTTGGCATGAAACGGCTCCGGGCTTTGATTTTGTTCATCGACTTGTTTTTTTATCGTGGAGCCTCCCATAAGTTGGCTTGGCCACGTCCTGTACAAAACGACTCGCTTATTATTTTGCTGTCGGTATGCTGCCCACTCTTCTGATGACGTCCCTTTTCCCCCCCTCAGTTTCTGGGTCACCTGACCTGGGTTTCGGTCTCTCTGAACCCTTCCAGTCGAGATGAACTGCTGCAACTGCTGGACACAGCCAGGGTTAGTAGTCAAAGTCATCATTGAGCCGTCAGGTTTCCGTCTTATCCAAACTTTTTGGGAACAATCTTCAACTGATCAGCCCGACACCTTTCCTTCCTTCATTATGATTAGTCGTTTTTTTTTATGGGTGACACCGACCTTGTGTTTTAAATCCAGCTGCACTGGCAGGTTCGACATTAAGAATTTGCATCTCTTATCGATGCTCGTTGCGAGAGGTTGGCTGAAAACTCGTGCAACAGCAAGTGACCTCTGCCCTCTCGGCCGAAGTTAACTAGGACGGCCTTTCTCTCCCAGGTGACCCACAGATTTATCGCTGCGTGTTGTCCCCCCCCCTCCCTCCATGGAGTCACGAGAGCCTCTCCAAAACCAAACTTCAGTCTTTGCAGCGAGTTGATTAGCTCACTATGGTGGCTCACATAGTTGAAGTCCACATTGCGTCCGGACATGGCTTTGCTGTCTTTGTTATTGTCAGTGCTTCTGACAACATGATGCGTGGGAATCTTTCAGGAGCACTCGGAGAAATAGCTGATCAGGAAAAAAATAGATATACAGTAATGGCATTCGTACTGATGAAACGTGCACGTCGCGCTTCTCTCAGACTTAGCAGTACAACCGTACACCACACACGGCGGCATTTCTGTTGCGGAGAAAAGAAACGAGGAGAAAACGTTGCAGAGAAGTCAACATATTGAAGTGAGCGAGCGGCAACGTAAGATGGCCACCCCTGGCTTCACTTCTGGTTGGGGCGACGTCGCGGCGCGGTTTGTCCATTCATACATCCGTCGGTGCGGTCGCCAAAGCGGAAACCAATGATCGATCGCGATCATCATCGTTGTGCCGGATCACCAATCGGCAATCGTTTTCAGTTGGATCGTCTGCCGCGACGTTACAAAGTACCTGAAAGCGACGCTCGAGTCGCAGTGCAAAAAGTCAGCTTGTAAAATGTGACTTGCGTCTTCAAGCGGCTGACGTTCGCTCTCCACAAGTCTGAAC